CCATGCCTTAAATTTCGTTCTTATCACCTATAAAACTAGGAGATGTTTAATATACTATTTTCCAAAGAAAATACATAGATCAATGAAGGCCAAAAATATTTCAAAAAAATCAGTAAAATTCAAATAATGTACTTAGATACAAATAAATATCAACATTAAAGACTTAATTACCCAATATTTTTTTCTGTATACTTTTTTACAATTAAGTCTGATTTTGTGTACCTCTCAAAAAAAAAGTGAAAATTAGGGCTGAGTATTCCTGAATGAACTTATAATGACTTGAGTCTCTCAAAGAAATTTATCTGATGATAAATTTATTTTTTATCTTACTAATAAGTAATTAAGTCCACTATTTTTTTAAATTCCAAAAATACCATTAACAGTGTTATTATGTTCAGTTATAGAAACCTTAAAAGTAGTTTTAAATTAATTTCTTAAATTAAAAATTATTATCCCTTAATTAACTTATAAATTGAAATTCAAATATATATTCTCTCTCACTCTAAAACTCAATAGAATTTGGAAAATCATCAACAACTACTATATCTTCTACTACGTTCTGGTCATCATAAACTTCTATATCGTTGATTTTCAGAAAAAAGGTTGAAAAACTTGCTCAATGTGTTATTAGTTTGATCCCCAATTTTATTTTTATTTTTATTTTTGTGATAAAAAATTCCCAAACTTTTTTAATATTTCATGTTACTACGTTTTTTGTTGATCAATTTACTATATTTTCTAATTGACCATGTTACAATTTTTTTTTCATGTTACTATTTTTTATTAAGTATGTTATTATTTTTTCAGTATTACTTTTTTAGATGATGAAGAATTAAATGCTTCTTCTTCTGGTTATGAGTTTGAATGCTACTATTTTTATTTTCAATTTTGTTCAATATTTTAAATTGCTCTTTTTTTTTTGTTGAGCATGTTACTATTTTTATTAAACATGTTACTATTTTTATTGAACATGTTACTATTGTTATTTTTTTTAAATATTAATAATGAATGTTACTATTTTTTTATATTTAAATATTACTATTTTTTTGTGATTAAATGATATTATTTTTTATATTTAAATGATGGTTTTTTTTTGTATTTAAATGTTAATTTATTTTTATTTTTAATGTTATTATATATATGTGAGAGATATATAGTCTTAACGTATATATGAATATAGATAGATATGAAAGATAAATTTTTTTTAATGTTAACCAAACTCTTAAAATTTAAGAATTTTTAATTTTTAGTTTTACTTAACTTTTAAAGTGAAAGAATAGTCTTATAAAATTGACAAAAAATAAATTTCAGAACAAATAAGTTTACTTAACGTATTTAAGTTTAAATAAATTCATATATAGGAGACCGACCTCCAAATTTTTTGAAAAATAAAAGACTTAGAGTTTAGATTTTGATTGCTTGGTGAGACTAAGTCGAAAAATACAACCCGATTTAAATTCGGAAAGCCTCTCTCTCTGCCTCTCAGTCTCTCGGTCTCTGTGTTAGCCTCTCTCTGCTTCTCAGTCTCTCACTCTCATCGTCTCTCTCAGTCTCTCACTTCCTCCGGCACTCTCCACCGTCTTTCACTCAGATTGTCTCTATGGTCTACTCCACATGTCCTCTCCCTTGCGACTGCTGTTGATCTGTGCCTCTCTACTGTTGATCGACTATTGTTAATCTGTGCCACTCCACCTTCTCTCTGTTGTTGATCTGCGTTGAAAATTGAGGCTTTTTTGATCGGGGTTGAGAAGTTGAAAACAAAGCCTGTTAATCAGCATTGGGAAATGGGGGTTTGCTGTTGGGTTGTGGTTTGTTGTCGTTGGGCTGTTGTTTGTGAACTGTGAATGTAATGGTGGTTTGGGGTGGAAAAATCATGGATGTGGATGAACCTTACTTCAGCCCGAATTGCAACTTGAAATCAGTCTGAATTGAACCCAAAATCAACTTGGATTGAGTATTTGGGTTATGATTAGAGTAAAATATTTTATATTTAAGATTAGGTAAGGGTTAATCTCTTAACCCGCCCAAGTTACAATGAACTCCCCATTTTTAAATCTTAAGATAACCTCTTGTGATTTTAGATCAAAGTGATCAGTTAGATTCTTTATCTGATGAAGAAAATAAGTGTGTAGATTTTACCGCTGCTATAGAACATGTGGTTGATTGTCTTCCCTCGCTGAAGACGTTCATAAATCAAACTGACCATGAGATGCTATATCATTTTGATGGATGATCTATTTTCGTCTATTTTGATTCAATATTTTAATTCTTTTTTGCTTAAAAATATCATTTTCATTGGATGATGTCTCAGACAACCCCACCAATTTATACTTTTTTTATTCATTTAATTTTAAATTGTATTATTAATGAGAAAAATATAAAAATAAATTTTAAATGTTGTAAGATAAATAGTCGATTTTTGCTACTACAAACTATCTTCAAACACGATGTTAATGCTAGTATATATCTATAATATAAAATAAGACAGACTTCAGTAATTTCATTCGATAATCTCAAATATTCAACGATAACTAACATTCCTTTTAAAATTATTCATATTGAATTTTTCTATCCCAAATCTATCACTGCTCATTTACGCTGCACCGTACCATCAGACATGAACTACCTTTAATATATATATGTCACCGGTGTTAGCAGTTCATTTTATTCCAATAGCATAAAGTGGTTATATTTATACTTTGAAACAACAAGAGAATGGTGTGCACAATTGCCTAACCATGAATTGCATGAATAAGCTCTTTAAGGTAAAAAATAATAATGAATAAAAAACAGAGAAATGTTTTCTGTATTTAATTTAGTGTTATGATAGATTATAACCTAGTAAGTTTCAATTAATAATAGGGAGAATTCACTGTGAATCTAATAACAGATAATGATATAAAATCACCAATTAAAGTCACTAAATAAGGTCTAACTAACATTACCCAAAAAATATTAAGTTTATTAAGCCCCCTTCAAGTAGGAAAAATAGAATATTTCCTTGAAGCAAGAAGGCGAACTAGAAAGCACGGCATATTGAAAGTGAAAAATGAATCATGGGTTCACCTTAACTTGCCAAGTACCATTTTGAAGATTGTTACCTTGTTGAACACAAATAAACTGCATATTCAAAGTGAAACATAGATGTCCACGTTAAAAAATAAACTCGATCCAATTAGATGAGATTTTGGCAGAAAAACGAGGGAGATCCTCAAACGACAGCTAAACTTTACTTTTTAGCTTTTTGATTCAAAGTATGGTACATTAGTATTCAAGAGAGGAACTGTGAACACCTTCAAAATTAGCAGAGAAAGTCCACCTTTAAGATAAACTTCAGCTCAACAAAATAGAATCTTGCCATAAATCAAGAAAGGATACTAAGGCTATGACCTTTACTTTCTCTTTATACTTTGATTTCCAAGTATTGTACACTATGATTCGTGAGACATCGATGTATATTACTCAAAGATATCTAGTAAATGGGGTAGATAGAATATATACATAGGTAAGCTCATTATGCTTTATACCAGAAGACAATGTGTGCTTGTGTTCACCATCAAATAATGGTTCGGTTAGAAGATGTCCATACGTGCTTATCACAGCTGAACCAATACAACAGAAAGTCATAATCAATATAGACAACTCAACCATAAAGAGATTTTTATCCTATATTGATTCATATTTCTAATCGAGTAGTAGTTCGTTGTGATAGTGAGAAGAAAAACCATAAAAAGAGAAATAAAAAACCATTATACGAGGATTGGGGGTAGAATTAGCCCATCATCAATATTACAATATCCCAATATAAACCAAGAACACAAGTAGCAAGTGTAATCCTATCCAGAATAGGTAACCATTAATGTTTCATATCCCATATAAATCCCTCAAAAGAGGAAAATGATTTCAATTTTTGTAATGTTTTAACAGTGTCTCACATAACATAAAGACACAGTCAGTTTGAAAATATAGTAACTATTCAAGGATTAAGACTTAGGCAATTCATAAAGGAGAGAAAATACATATAAGACAAACAGAATTAGGATTAATCAGCTGGTGGATTTGAAAAAAGCTGTGGTTCAGAAACCTAATTCCATGGATATTTATATGTCGGTCTTATTGTAATAAACTTATCATATCTGTATAAAAATAGGATATAGGTTTTGTCTCCTACCCTATTTATAGGATTAATTATTAACTACAATCACTTTTAGGAAGGTTCGTGTGTTTTCCACTTGCCCAATGCTTTTTACCCTTTATAGAATCAATAGACGGAGAGAGAGAGATCCACAACTCATTGAAGTTTAATTTCTATTACGTGGGATCCTCTAGAGAGAAAAATAAAAATAAGAAACTATCACTCCAAAAATATATGGTATGATAGAACAAGATCAGAAATAGAAGAAATGAAGGATAAGAAAATTCAATAATCACTAGCAATAATTGCATTACCCTCTTCTTCTCCGTTTTTTTTTTGGTCTTGCATTACCCTCTTCAAGTGAGGGAAAAGTACACGAAAATTGTCTGGATTTTAAATGTTTTCCAACCTTAATGTTTACCACAATTCCAGGATAGCAATTAGTAATCTTCCTTCAGAACTACAACTTCCATGGGGTTCTGAATATCTTAAGCAGAAATTAGTCATAATATATTAAGGTGAAAATATGAGAGAGAATTTCAGTTAACAGAGATACTCTTCAATGTATTATATTCATGGTTCATGGTTAATCAGTAGTGGCGTTGTGGTTTGGTATTGGCCAATACAAACAAATACCTGATAGAATGTCTAAATTTCTCTGAAAATTCTATGAAAATAAACTAATTCATGCATCATATGTTCAAAACACATCAGCTACATATTAAAGATAGTGAATATGAAGCAGGAGGGTGCTACCCGAAGTACTCATCATCATCAATCGTCAAGTAGGAGGAGGAATTTCTATTTTAAATTTCTTGTGCACGTTATATTCATTTTCCAGCAAGTTAATCTCTGACATCTAGACATAGGAACATTATTAAGAACAAACAACATTGATTTTTTTTGTACATATATACAAGAGCAGTAGTTTATCAGATATTATCTAATAGTACAAACTACAAACATATACATTATCAACTGCTACCGTAAATACTTCTGCTAACACATTAGAGATTTCTACTGATTTTACCACTGTTCATAATCTCAAACTTTACTCTTTCAAGGAGAAGAAAATTAACTCTCTCTCCATTCTCTAACACTCATCTAAAAGAGAAAGTACTAAAGATAGAGGACACAAAGGTAAAAGCTGGAAAGAGTGGATTGGACGATCTTATTTTCTTACTCATTCTCCGAATCCAGACTGTCCGGTGCAGGAAACACCCGTCACGGTAGGTCTGCAAGGATCAGGTGTTTACCTGCGTGCGAAGAGGCTGTAGATCACTCAATAGTGGGTTTAACACTATGAGTTACACCAGGAGCTTGCAGTGCTACTTTCTGTTTTTGTCTCTTTCGCTTCTTGTCGTAACTGATCCCTCTTGACTTGGACTGAAAATCACGAACATCATGTAGGAAAAGCCTCACTGCTCTTGCCCCAAATGGGTTTGCTTCAGGCTTGCCACCATGTTCTTCGTAAGCAGCTCGGAGGCGTCCGACGAGAGCGTCGAGGCTTCCCCAGGCCTGCCGGAGAGGACAAGGGCACGGTGCCGGAGGGTTCGGGACACCGAAGAAAGGGCAACTTTGGTTGTGGATTTTGGTCTTGCCGAATTGGTCAAGGTATCGGAGAAATTCAAGGACATGAGCAGAATTGAAGAGAGAGAGTGAGATTTGAGGCCTATGGTTTCTTAGGTATTGGCAAAAGGTGTTCCAGTCTCGGCGCTTTTGGCTCTCGTATCGGCTTGGAGGAGGAGGTGGCAATGAGATTGGCACTGAGCAGATGGGGAAGCTGCTGCTTATGACGTTTAGCGAGTTAGGGTTACCTGATGCTGCAGCAAAATCCATGTAAGTTGGCGAAGATTTGAGAGTTCTGATTGTTATTGTGATCTTCTTTTTCTAGGGTTTTGTTGTTGTAGCTTCTTGGTGAAAGCTAGTCTGCAAGAACTGCAAAAACACACAGACAAGAGAGAGAGAGAGAGAGAGAGAGGGACAGAGATTCGAAGATGCAGTTCCTAAAGGAGTTGCAGGGAGATGCAGTTCCTAAAGGAGAAGATCAACTTTTGAACTGTCTGCTCTCAAGTCTGATTGTCTTTGTTTCGACTGAGATAAGAGGATTCGTCTTAAAGGCCCTATTTCTGGCTTCCTAGGTTTGAAAACAGTGCAAACTATCAGAAAATCTTGAAGCACGGAGATGTTAGGCAGTAAACAGAAGATCAGGTCATTATATTTTCTTCCCAGGAAAGGGGGAAGCAACTGAAATTATATAGTGTAGAGAGAGAATGTACCCAAAAAAAAAAAAAAATAGGGCAGAGAGAGAGAGAGAGTGAAGTAGCTTTTGCGGTAACACGGCATCTTGCGAGAAGAGCAATGTTACGCTGAATAAAATTTAGGATCAAATTTAGAGTTTAAATGACAGGATAAATAATTATTTGAAATTTTTATTGGAATTCAAATGACATGACACCAATTAAAAAAATCTAAATCAACTATCATGTTATTTAAACTTTAAATTTAATATCAAATTTTGATCCGTAACTATCATGTTATTTAAACTTTAAATTTAATATCAAATTTTGATCCGTCTAACATTATTGTTTGCGAGAAAGGGAAAGGTTTGACGTTAAGTGGAACACTGGGAACGATGGAGAGTAGATGTATTGTCAGTTTGCCATTAATTCCTAAGCCCGTGAAGTGAGAAAGAAAATAATTTGAAAACAACAAATCTAGGAACCTTCGTAGCCATTCTCTTTGAAGAATAAATTCTTGGTAATGCTATGTTAATCAAATATCTGTCTTAAATAATGTGGTATAATTTTTTATTATTAAATAAATATATTTTATTAATATTTAATGATAGAAATTAAGTCATATCATTTAGAATAATAAATTTGACAAAAAATTTAGTAAATTAAACATTTTTCTTAATACTTTGTAGTGTGTAAAATCTCAGTTTACAGTCAACCACAATTTACTGGCAACCACTCATGACACATAATCTATTTTTATATTAAATATTATTAACAAGTCTTTATATACTTGTATTTGTTTAACTCTATCATACTTGAATCTTATGAAAAATCTTCTTTACTTGGGTTAATAATTATTGGGTCTTATTTTACAGACTCATGAATTAAAATAAATCAAAAGAATAATAAAAAAAATATAGAAACAAAAGTTAGAGTCGATAAAAGAACAACACAGACTTCTCTACTGGCTACTTTTCGTCTTCTCCGACAGTTGATGTTTGTCTTTTTCGGGGGATGCTGCTCATCTTCTCCGGCCAAAATTCCTATGAGTTTTTTCGTTTAAATATCCTCTTCATCTATCTCATAAAATATGACTTGGGTTTTAATTTTTTCCTATTTTTTTTTGTTCAATTTTTGGTGTGGCATTTTGATATATATTACGAGGGTTTAATCTCTGTCTCCTAAAAAGTGAATATTTATATATCTTGAGTTAAAGATTGGCGGCTGCTGTTTGTCTTCTCCGGCAAAAATTCCAATGAATTTTTTCGTTTAAATATAGAGTAGTCATATAGTTAATTTTCCTATACACTTGGTGACTGTTGAGAAAGGCTCATCACCCAATGTAGCACCTGTTAATCAATGATACAGGGTAAAATTCACTGGGTACAAGCCTACCGAATTGATCCGAAATGTGTACACCTTAGTTTAGGTGCTGAAGTTGTAGTTATAATTCAGTTAAGTCTAGAATCGAATCCACAAGGAACTAATGTTGGTGTTTTGAAGTAAACAGTGATAGAGACTAGAGTTATTAGAACCTTTTGAGATTTGAAGTTATGATGATTACAAGATTTTTTGAACAGAATATAAGATTCTCTCAAATGAAAGAGTCAGCCTTTATCTCAAGGATCTGGATATGTAGTCAATCATCCGGTTGTTAAATTTGTTCTTGACAGCTCAATTAACCCCTATGTCAATAACAAGTTAATTGGAGGATAAAGATGGACTGTGAGAATTAAGAGTATGGTTTCGATATCTTTATAGAGATTTACAAGAATTGTCAATGCCGAGACTCAACCTTTCTATAAATAAGTAAGTAATTCTACAAATCATCCAACCACTACGATATTATTTCATTCTCAGTTAAAGCACAATAATAATGAAGATTGAAATGTTGTCATGAAGATCAAGCTTGAGTACTTGCAAAGAACCAATGAATCTACACATGTCAAGAAATAACTTGTCTTAGAAATGACTCATGATTGTACAAAGTACTTTAGCTTTGCTAGATGTATTCAATCATTCAATAAACAATCAAAAGATAAAGCATTAAGTATAAATGAAATGAATAAATATAACTTCTAAATGATTTATACATGTCCATCACTTCTTACTGAAGAGTGAATGAGAAACTACCCACTCTTCATAGCTTTGAGAAAGCTAGAAAAGAGAGTGATCCTCATCCTTCCAAGTAGAGGAATTACAAAAGAAAATACACTGGACAATAAGCCAATTTTCGACAAAAAATAAGTGAATCACTTCTCACCCATCAAGATTACAAGAGAGCTAGAAAGGTGAGAGAGTTTTAATCCTCTAAGTGAACAAATAAGCTTTTACAATGGAAGCTAATGAAATCAATAATGAAAGTATAAGAAAGCTAGTTACTTTTGGAGGATTTCTTCCTCTTCCAAAAAATGATTTTTAACAAGTTCCAAGTGCTTAAAGTTCAAGTGAATGCCATAAAATTTGGATGGAGATCTAATCTTCCTGCAGCCTGTCTGGTGTTCACATTCGAACATGGAAGCCTATCTTTTTTTATGAGCGTTTGAATGTTGTTGAGGTTTGACCGTTGTACTCATGTAAGTTTTTTCCTCCACAGTAAATAGCTGCAATAGGCTATATGTCATCACCCTAGCAATCTCCCAGGGGTCCTCAATTATTTCAAGATGGTGTTCCAACGTGTGATGGCGTTCAAACGTAGGTGCTTTTTTTCCTCTTTATTCCATTCTCTTCTAGACCACATGTGTGTTGCTTGAAATTTTGATGTTGTTGACTTTTTGGCACTTGTACAACTTTTCCCTTGAAATGTTATCATTTGAACTCCATCAAAACACAATTACTCTTATAAAAGCATAGTAAGATGTTAATTTTAACTATGCATCACACCGCCAACCTAAATATTGCTAGTCCATAGTAATACAAAACTTCAAAATGAAAATATATTTACAATGCCATTTTCATAGGTCATCCGGTTGCATTTAGTATATGCAACAAGTCATTAAACCCCTAGGTTTCCCTAGTGGATGAGTGTTGTCTTGTGAGGGTTTCTAATGAAGCTACCTACAAACTTCAGTTGAACAGATGCATATATCTAAGATTTCTTGTTAGAGTGAGTTAGCATCATGATCGTTGAGACAACCAAACTTCAATTTCGAATTATTTTCCAAACACTTCTCTTTCATGCGTACGCACTCTATGCAAAAATAAACACTTGTTACATTGGCATTTGAAATTCCCTATGTGGTAAGAATAATCATTCTAGCTACAAGAATTATTATATAACAAATATTCTTCTTTTCAATCTTCCATGGATAGCTTTGATTTCACAAACCTTTCTTAGAATGCTCTAAACAAAAATTTCCTACGATTATAGTGATTTTTCTCTCAAAGAGACATGTGATCAGAAGAATGTTAATTGCAAATTCACATGCACAAAGAAACGGGAGTGAAATCCAAGGAAAATAGACTAATCATGTTTGTCATAATCTCATGGAGGAACATTGATACCAATAAAGTAATACTATTAACCTACCCCAAACTTTTGATTGATGACCTACACATGCATCAGACTTGAGATCAATTTAGGCTTTTTCCAGGTTATAATGTGGCCAGGGGTTAGTGGTTGAATGAAATGACGGATGACAAGAGTTCAAAATGGGTTATCCAATTTGGTTATACTTCTGCACATTCTCTCCTTTTCTGCATCTTGTCTTCGGGAAAATCATTTGTACTTCTCTTTTTTTTTTCTCTTTTCATTTCATTCCCTTTCTCTTTCAAATCACAATTCTTTGGCCAGATTGACTTCTTTTGTATTTTCTTTCTTTCTTTGCTCATCTCATTCTACCCTTTTGTTTGTCCTTTTTTCCCTTTGTTTCTATTTTTTATATTCAGAAAGTCTGCTTTTTAGAAAACGTGCATGGAAATTAGATAATCTAGGTAGGGTTTTAGAGTTCTTTTGGCTTGGTCAAAGACATGGTTTTACCGAAAGGAATTATCATTTTAAGGCTCAATCATGGATGACAAAGGATTATGTATCAAAAGAAATAGATAAAGCTCAAAAATTTCAAAACAAAAAAGCTTAAAATCCTTTCTCAAGCATGTGCACATGAATTTTTTCGTATGAACAGATTCTTTGTGGGATACATCAATAGACTGCTCTATTTGAATCAATCAAAATAATTTTAATGAGATTATTCAAGGATAGAAATTAAAAACCTTACTTGAGTAAGTGTTGATTTTCTCTCAAAAGTATCGCAAGGCTCAAAAGATTACCATGAGATTCTTTGTTATCTCCGCTGATTATGTCAGATTTTCAAAGAATGTCGGTTATATACCAATTCCATTTTCAAGCCTGGTTATTCTACACTTTAAGAATAACAAATACCAATGTGCATTTGACATTTAAGCATAAAGAAAATACAATTTTTCAAGAAAATGTGGTTTTAAATATGGATTATTAGGTTAGGTGTCAGACCAATCATGTGCTTAGTCACTTTAGCAAGCAATCTCAATATTTACATCGATCCCATCAATCATTAACAAATAACAATGTAGTGCTAAATCTAACACATGCATTAAGAAGATAAATATAATAAAACTAAATCATTCATTTCAAAATATATCATAGTTCAAAACAAAAAGACTTAGATCATCCAAAAACAAACATTCATCAATCCCAAGAAAAGAATCACTCTTAGTTTCTCATCACTCATATGCCTGAGGGTCTGCCAGCTCCACCTCCTAGACGATGGAGAATCTCGTCTTGCTTAGCCTCGATGCTAAGCATGATCTCTCGTAATGTCCGTTGGTCGCTTGTTGATTAGCACAAAAACATTGCATATTTCATGTGCTAATTATTCCATTTTCACTTACTAGTGGGGATTAAATGATTGTAACTGCACTACTTGAGCTATTAATGAAGATATTTGATGATTTCAGATAAAAGATGTCAAATGATGCTTCTTAAGGCTTTCTCAAATGAGTGAGGTGATTGAGGATAAA